TTCCCAAAGTACGACCGTGTGCCGCAATTGCAAAATCTCCACCAAATGTCTTGTGACACACTGTGCACTCGTAAGGCTTCTCACCTGCGTGGGCTCGGAGATGAGCCTTTTGAGTACTTGATTGCGCAAAAGTTTTGTCACACACTCTGCACTTGTACGGCTTCTCACCCGTGTGAGTCCGCAGATGACCCTTCAGAGTGCCTATCTGCGCAAAGGTTTTGTGACACACGGTACACTCATGTGGTTTCTCACCTGTGTGAGTCCGGTGATGGTCCTTCAGACTCTTTGACTCAGCAAAAGTTTTGTAACACACTGTGCACTCGAATGGCTTTTTCTCTCTGTGGGTTATGAGATGTCTCTTCATGTATGTTGATTTGGCGAATGTCTTCTTGCATATGATGCATTCGAATGGCTTCGCTAAAGTGTGCTTTCGCAGATGCACTTCTAGATTTCCCAGGCTGGAAAAGGTTTTGTAACACGCGGGGCAGTCGAACGTTTCTTTGTGTTCTTCGTTCTTGTACGTTTCTTGATGTGTTTTAAGTTGGTCTGCTGGGGGCAATGCATTGTTGCCTTCGATGCACTTACTTGATTGTTTTATCTTGTGCATTGTGGGGGGGGGATCAGCGACGCCAGCGCCAGCACGCCACGTCGCCCGCGCTGTTTGACTTGGTCGTCTTCTCGCGTCGGTGACCCGGTCAGGCGTGTCTTGTTGTTCGCCAATGCCGTCGCCAAGGTTTGGACGGCCTAGGGCGGGCAGCCTTCAGGACATCCTCCAGGACATCCTCGAATCTCGTCCATCTTCAGGGCGCGCGGATGAGAGCGCTACAATAAGACCAAAGTGGAAAGCACTACTTTTTGCACTACTCATTTGTTGCCCACTTTTGACATGATACCAAGAGTGCAATTTCAAGATTAACTTAAGATTAGCGTTTTGAATAAAATGCAGCTTGCAGCGGTGCCTTTGACAGTGTGACGCCTCCCCCCCCCTCTCCCGGTAACGGCTCGTGTCACGCTAGTCCCTGCTCGTCACGCGTGGACGTGACGGCGGTGCAGTGGTGAACCTGGAAGCCAGTAGTGCCAGGGCCCCGTCGTCACGGCCCGACCCGGAAGCAGGCCGTCACTCACCGACACTGAGCTGGGCCCCTAAGAGAGTGCTTCCTTCCGGCGCGGCGCTGGCGCCCGGCGCCTGCACCAGCGCTGCACTTGTCGCGCCCCACCCGCGCCCCACCCGCGCCCCACCTGCGCCCCGCCCGCGCCCCCGTATGATCGGGACAGCCGTCGCCGCCTGGGGTGAATCGGAAGAGAAACTTACACACAAAACACACTAAACACATGACATCCTACTCAAAGCTGGGGAGTTGCGGCTGTACGGGGGCCATGTTGTTTGTTGTTGTGTCGGGTCGGCAGGGCCGCGGCGCACGTGCGCCCGACGGGCGGTATACGTTGTGTCGTCGGGGCGTCTCGTCGCTTCCTCCGACCGCTGCTCGCTGCTATGACTCTCTGCTAAAGCATGAAGCATGAGCTTCAATCAAATACAGTCGCCACAAAGGGAGACAAAATCCTCCTCGAAATACATACTATCTTGCTTATGGCCCAACGACCGCCACCCAGATGAAAAGTTGTGTGTTGTGTATAAGTAGTGAAAAATGGTCAAAAGTGATATCGCATTCGCACAAGCGGAACTCATTCTAATCCTCTTTACATTTATTGGAGGTAAAACAAAATTGCACGGCGGACATATTACAAATAATCAAATCTAATACTCAGTTTAACTGTTTATAATTTTCTATTAATAAAATTAAGGCCTACCCCGGGCCCCGGGCCGGGCCGAGCCGCAGCTTTGGGCAGCCAGAAGGCAACACATTACGGGCGCGTTACGAGCCGCCTCAAGGCCTCAAGGGCGATGTAAGGCGAGTGGGAGGAGGGAAGGCATCGGCAGATGGGACATCCTCCCCCTCCTCCTCTCTCTCTACTCGCTGGAGGACACGCCGTCAACGCTAAACGTCGTGGTCCAGAAGGGTCGCTGTTCTTGACAAAATTGTCGCACGCCCTCGTGCAAAGTTTTTGACTTTTGGAATGCGGAATTCAATGATCCCTAAAGAAGGAAGATATAGAAACTATCAGATGAATAATTTGCTGAAGAATTCATTACCAATTTTGCCCGAGTTAATTCTTAAAAGGTAA